TCAGAGAGGGAGGCGGGGTCTGAGCACAGTGCGAGCCTCCCCTGCTCCTGCCTGCCCACCCCGCCTGAGGGCTCTACTCACCACCCTGCTCCTCCGCAGCCCCAAGCTCCTGGGGGGCTGGGGCCCCTGGAGCAGGCTCCTCAGCAGGGTTCTGGGCAGTGGGGAGGAATTTGTCATGCCCCTCGTGGTGACCCATGAGCAGTAACACCGGCTTCTGCAGCTCCAGCAGCTTCACCTGCAGAGAGGGGTGCTCAGTTGCCACGACTGAGCTGCTGTCAGCGCCAATGCCCACCCCACCCCCATAGAGATATTGCATGCCCTCTACCTTCATCTCCTCCTCCTTCTGGGCCAGCTTGATGATGTCCTCTTGGTGCCGTGTGTTTGGCACTGCCCCATGGCTCTCATATTCGGTGATGTAGTCTCCTGCAAGAGGACAGGGCTCAGACACTGGGGCCCCTCCAATGGCCCCGCAGCTCCCCATGCCATGCCCTGGCCTCCTGCTTACTCATGCCCTCTCTTGCTCCAGAGAGCTGGATGAATCCAAGCTCTAGTTTTTCCACCTGCTCCTTCCCGTCTGCCTTCTCATTCGGGAGGTCCATAAAGCTTCTCTGGAGCCAAAATAATGGGGTCACATCTCGGGAGTGACCTGTCCTTCCCGCCCTCACTTTTCTTGGCCCATGCCAGGACTCGCTCACCTTCAGCTTCTCCATGGCCCCCTGCAGGGCCCGGTAGCTCTCCCCACACACAAACTCACCCCCAGTCCCTGGGGCCGGGGCCTCAGCCTCTGGCTCCTTCCAAGTCGAGGCCACCAGGTGAGCCAGATACGGGCAACACAGCCTTTGCACCTTCTGCTGCCCACATAGCCGTGCCTGCTGCCCCTGGGCACTGGCTCCAGTGGAGTTGAAAAATGCCACATGAAGGCAAGAGCTGAGTATTCTTGTAGGGCATACACAGAACAAATGGGGCAGGGAGGTGGAGCACAGCCCCTTCCCTTGGGGTCTCAGAGAGTGCACCTGTTGGTCACAGGTGTCTGACCACTGGCTCCTGGAAGGGGTGAGGGTCCAGAGAAATCAGAAGGTGGGGAAACCTAGAGCATAAGGGGGTCTGGGAGGGACCACAGAGGAAGGTGGCAAAGTGGGGCAGGGACAGTCAGACTCACCATGGCCTCCTGGCTCTCCAGGTCCTTTGGGATGCTTGGCATCAGCTGAGGCGCCTCCTCCTCCTCACCGTCCAGATGTTCTCCTTCATTTCCTGTGGGGAGGTGGCCAGAGGGGTCCTCAGACAACCCAACTAGGGAGGTATTGCGGGCCCACTTCTCCCCACCCTCACTGTGTAACCCTGAAACAGCCCCTCCCCAGAGGGGAATGAGCTGCTGTTCTTTATTTTTCCTTTTAAGAACCAAGATCTTGCTGTATTGCCCAGGCACAGTCCTGATACCGGTCAGTGTGGGAGTTCTGAACTGCTCCCTTTCTGATCTGGGCCAGTTAATTCATCCTTAGGCAACCCGGTGGCCCCCTGCTCCCAGTAGGTCACCACATTCATGCCGAGTTTATTGCAGACACCCAGTTGGCATAATGACCAGCTCTTCTAAAGGTCTCTTCCAACCCTTCAATCCTGTGCTGCTGACAGTTCCCCCTTCTTCTTGGGGCTCTCTCCTCTTCCCCTGAGTGGTCTCCTGTACCTTCTCCAGGGAGAGCCATGAGGCTCAACTGGGCCTCTAGGTGTTGATTCTGCTGGCTGGCTGCTTCTAGGTGTTCCTGAGGGAATGGAAAACGAGTGAGAAGGCACCGAAGTTGCCAGGTCGTCTCCCTCGGGGCCCTGTCCTCAGCAACTCCAGCTCCTGGGTCTCCTGCAGGTTTGGCAGGCCATCTCAGCCACTGCTTTGCCCCGAATTTCCTGCTGCTGCAGTTGGTCCATGAGCTGGGTCTGCAGCAGTAACTCCCTGTGCAGCGCCTCCTTCTC